AGGGAAAGATAGTAATTAAATATGAACTGTTGTTCAATATTTGGTAGAATTCTCCACAGTAGTGAAAGTATTGTCTCGATTTAAGCATTTCACATACTCTAAAAAACTGGGTAAAAAATCCAGAGAATAAATGCTGCATTAATTGAAAAACCAATGATAGCCAAAAGAATATGCAACCTTTCTTTCAAAAACAAGTAATCAAAAGTCAGAACTAACAAAAGAGATTACAAACCTCGCCTTTCAGCTCTGCATAATAGACTTCCCCAAAACCACCTTGACCAATTTTATTAGCCAAACTGAAGTTATTTGTGGCATTGACTAGTTCCTCATATGTAAACTCTGCTGATTTATCCACCCTAATGCCAGTGGTGTTATTACCACCTTCTGCAGAAGGATCACCCGTGGCTTCATCTGAAAGAAGGAAGATAAATAGGAGTTACTATACCCCATCATCAACTACAATTTCATTTTCTATGTGTGCTGTTCTTCTATTTCATTATTTTCATGATATGCAGCAGAGGAAGACAGAGTGCAATCAGAACAGCAAAAGAGTTTTAGAGAAGCAACAATAACTATACTAATGCTAGCTAGAAATTCTGAAATTGGATTGGATAATAACAAAGTGCAGCAATCGGAATACGTAGAAAACGTGAAGAATGATCAACAACAGTTCACTTTTATTACTGCTCAATGCTCATGAATGGTATATATACATGATGGCTGAAGAGAAATAACAGAAAGGCATAACAAAATAACGGAAAAGTTATAACAGAAAAACTGAGAAGCTGAAAAGCTATGGCTGAGAGATAACACCTTTAAGAAAATTGATAAACAAAAGAATCAAACTGTAATCTTTGTTCTTTGGGATTATTTCTTGCAGAGATGAGGGAAGTGAGACCTATAACTAAGTTTTAAGATTATTTGAATATGATACCATGTGGTAGAATCTGTTGAAGAGTTTTCAAATCAGCCAAAGATTCAATTCAAAACACTTTGCAATTTAACCATCTTTTAAGGAAAAAGGTGGAGGGAGGGAGGGAAGGAAGGAAGAATTAGATGAAATATAAGTAGAAATCCATATACCATCCTTAACTCTAGTTGACTTCATCCTGGATTCTTCTGAGAGCAATTTCTTCCTCCATAACATTTTTCTTCGGTAATATATAACATACACGCAAAATGCCAATAGCAGAAGAAGTCCTGTTACTACTCCAACAGATATTCCAGCAATTACCCCACCTGCAAGACCTGCTTTTGCAGAAACAATATATGAGCTGAAAGTAGGTTTACATTGTACTTTTAGGATATCCTTACCTTGTGTCTGGTATGAATATTAGACTCAAATGAAAACAATCATAAACAAAACAACTTTCTGAGGAGTGAGAAGGTCAAACCTCCAGTGCTGAAAAGGAAAATCAAAAGACAGCCAATAAGATTATCAGGTTATTAAAATATGAAAACATAGCCAACTTCATGTGCAAATAGCATGTACAGTAAGGTAAAAAAATATCACCTTAGATGAAGGGGCGGATAGCTATCATTTTGGTCTGGAAAGCGAAGGGACAAGAAAATGTGAGACCTATGTTTCAAAGTTTACAGTTCCTAGGAAATAAGTTGAAAGATACAGCCGTACAACTATAAGCATGATGCTTATATACAATCTAAGTCTACCTTTGAATGCATTTCTTACCATGTAAACATTTTGAAGATCAGAAATTATTAGCATTTCTTCACATGTGTTAATAAAAATTTAATGGCTAAGAATGAAATCATCGTCGCTAGTGCCAAAACCCGTACTTTATGTGGTAGTGACATGACTATAAATTTTTTGAGTATCACTGGAAAAGTAACAAAAAGGAATGAAAACATAGCAGCATCCCCTTCATTTATGATAGACAAGAGAGCAAGAGCCTTTCAAACTAGTTCAAGAATGCACTGCTAGCTTAAATAGACCTTTGTAGAATATACATGTTAAGATCTTGCATCAACTAGAGATAAGATCAAAATAATATATATAAATAAGGTCAACACTCATATTATAAGATTGTGTTAACTCCAAATCGACATTATTAAGATATTATCATAGTTTATCATAAGGATTATTGTTAGGCCTAGCCATCTATTATCATACCACCTTTTACAAAAAGGTCTTGTACTGTTAACAAGCACGTGGTTTTTCACCTCCATATTTCCAAACATAGGCTAAGCAATTTGGAGGCTCAGGTTTAAGATCAAAAGGCCAAGATTTCTAGGATAAGTATGGAGGACTAGTCTTTATTTTAATTCTACCCATAAATCGAATTCTTTTAAATAAATAAAAATAAAGAGTACCCTCTAATCCATATGAAACATCAAATACATACAAAAACCTCACGAGTCTATATCAGAGGATCAAAGCATGACAGCAAGATAAGAATGTACCTTTCCCTGGAATATAAACCAGACCACTCCCTTGGCTAAAATTGACACCTGGGTTGTACTCAAGCAACAACTCGCTCTTAATCCCAGTCTTGTTGGCAATTGACTGCAAAGAATCCTCAGGTCTTAGCGGGTATGTGATGAACAATCCATAATCCTTGGAAACGTCACTGTTCCCACAGGAACAGTTAATGGTGACATTAAGAGTCCCACTGTCAGGAATATTAGTGGGCGAATAGCTGTTGAAACTCTGCAACCACTTATCAGTAGTCAAATTGGAGTAGTTCTGATTGGCAATGGACGTGTACGTGTCTCCTACTGCAAGGTTGTATTGAAATATATGGCCAAGAAACTCCCCATTTATGCAATCACAAGGGAATGGTACGTTCACTCTGGTAGAGGCTGGGACTTGGTCTTTGCTTTCTATGTCTTTGTTGTAGCTCACAATATCTTCAGCTTCTGAGAGAAGCTGAGATTTCATAAGGTCTGTTATGTATGTCAAGTTACCTTCTGGTAGGTAGTAGGAAGCTAGAGCTAAGTCACAAACCCTTCTACACTTGGATTCTGCACTAAACGATGTAGTGGCCAATAACAAGAAGAAAAGTGGTAATCTGAATCTGTTTTCCATTGGGTGGTAGAGTACAAAGTCTGTGAAGCCTATTCGAGAGGAACACAAAAATCAAGAATATGGCGGGTTGAATCCGCTAATAATGTTAACCAACTCTGTATTCTTTTGCCTAACTTGTGTTGGATTTAAAGATGTTATATACTGTACATGATAACTTAAATGGTGTGGCTTGGAGCACAACTTAACATGTTTAAAGCACTAGCTGATCATTATTCTCAGAAAATGAGAATTAAAGACATTGAGAACGAGGTGTGTCGTTGTGTTGAAATTGGTAATGACAGCAGAAGAGGAGGTGCATTAGTGGCAATTACGTTGTTGTTTCGGCTTCTGACATTGCCCACACGACAAGCTCAGCATGACCATTGACTCTTCTACCTTATGGATTGAATGTTGACGAACAGTTTCTAATTGTACTTCTTTTTCTCTTCTAGACCAGTATTTCTTCCTG